GTCTTGTTACCATTCACTCTATTTCTCATAATTCTTCCTCTTTCTCTTATGATATTCTCACATGAAACATACCCAAAGATATCTACTATCACTACTTTGAACAGCACAAAAGTAAAACAATGTGAAATTTTTTCTGGGAGATGGATTCGTTATCCTAAAGGACCTTACAACAGCAACAAAACATGTCATTTCATTATAGACACACAAAACCGCATCATGTTTAGGAGGCCTGATGAAGATACGTACATTTGAGATGGAAATCAGATAAACGTTATCTTCCACTCTTCAATGCAACTTAATACTTAAAACTTATTAGTGGAAAGAAAATCACATTTGTTAGAGACTTAGTGGCCAGAAATCAGATGCAGTCTTTGTTGTGCCTCCTTAATCATCAACTAAGTTATCAAACCTTGTTTTATTTCTTGATTAATCATCCATATTATAAATGCAACCAAAACAATTGCAAAAAAAACAATTATAAATGTTCATCTAAAACCCTAAACATAAAACTCCAAACATAAAACAAAAAGCATACCTTCGTACGACAATAAGAGCAAAATAACAACACCAAATCGATTCAAAAAGAGACGCCAATTTGTGAGCACAGGGAAGAGAGGATTTGTGAGTTGTGGAAAAGTTAGGCAAGGGACTTTCAGAAAGAGGGCTTTTGTTTCACTTTTTCGAAGAGAGACATTTCTAAGCGCGAAAGCTGATAAAAAAAATTTTAACATTTAGCAGGGGTTTTCTTAACCATCGTTATTTAACAACAGTTACAATACAAAATCGCAGGGAATATTTATATGTTACTATGGTTATTTAAACTGTGGGTAAAATTCAAATTTAACAATGGCTATATGAACTGCAGGAAAAAAACCGTGGGAAAAATTCTTAATTCTAGTAGTGTGTTCTTCAGATATTGTAAAAATCTTGCAATGAGTTTTGGGGTGCATGTGTAATTCCATCGCTTGAAAATGACACTGTATTTATTCTATTTTGAAATGGAATAAAATTTATTTGTGGCATTCATATTTGGATTTAATACGAATTTTACCTATCGAGGGCACCCTTATTCCTAACTGAAGTGATTTGCTATGGAATGAGAGTATGAGGTATATGATGCATTGCTAATGGGTAAGACCTCGTCTATTGAGAAGTGAATGCTTCCTTAGATTGAGTGTCAACTACTTCTCCACCTAAGAAGGATTTTTCTCTAGCGTTGAAAAGTAGGGAACTTCTCTAAAACATTGAATGCTTAACAAAAATATATTCATTTTATTAGTCTTCCTTTTACTCATCATGTTTTTTTTTTTAGAATTAAAATTAGCAAAACTGTAGATCAGACATCCTTACAGAACACGTTCTCAGTCAAAGATCATGGACGAATTAGAACAACATAATAAAGAACTAGGGAATGAGGTCAACCGACTGAAAGATTAAGTGGCCAGAATTTTGGAAATACTGCAATCTGTGGAAAGGAGAAACATTGAGGGGATCATACCAGTTAATGAAGGGCCACCCTTCACTCCCACATATCCACTCGGCTTTATTTCCCAAGGGACAATGGCACCACTAACCTTGCATCCCACTAGGTCTGTCCAACAGGCTAATTTTCAAGAGGCTCAGCTCCCACCTTATGGCCTTCCAGCTGGCTATGCAGCACCTATGGCTCAAGAGGCACAATTTTCATCATACAATAATCTACTCCCAGTTGTAAATGATTCATTAATCACTCAACAACAATCCACCCAACCCCAAGGCATGCCCTCAAACGTCATCGAAAATCCTTAAATCCTCCCAAAAGATACCATCCCTAAACCACAAATTGTCCTCCAACTACAAACACATCTTTTCATCCCACTATGGAAGAGTTTCAGCCAGAAGAGAATGATCATTCTAGAGAAAAGTTGCAACTTTTAGAAGAAAGGTTACGAGCTGTTAAGGGTAATAGCTATGGTACTGGAGATGCAGTTGACCTTTGTTTGGTGCCAGACCTGGTAATTCTGCCAAAATTTAAAGCACCAAAATTTGACAAATACAAAGGCTTTACATGTCCAAAGAGCCACCTAACCATATATTGCAAGAAAATGGCATCGCATGCCTGTGACGACAAGTTGTTAATCCATGTCTTCTAAGATAGTCTAACTAGGGCAGTTTTAAATTGGTACATGCATCTAGAACGTACTTGTATGATGCTTTCCTAAAGTAATATAAGTACAATATTGACATGGCCCCTGATAGATTAGAGCTTCAAACCATGATGAAGAAAGACCATGAAACTTTAAAAAGTACGCTCAAAGATGCCGAGAGACAGCAACATAGGTTGAGCCACCCCTTTCAGAAAAGGAAATGGTTTCCTTATTCATTGATACTCTTAGATCTCCCTTTTATGACAAAATGATTAGAAGTATCTCTGTAAACTTGTCTAATGTTGTCATAATAGGAGAAAGAGTAGAAAGTGGCATGAGAAGTGAAAAAATTGCATATGCTACAGGGGCAACTAGCAAAGTTACTATCAGATGGATCGTACATGAAGCCAAGCACCATGGTGGTTAAAGCATTCGATGGCTCTCGAAGAGTAGTGATTGGGGAAATAAATTTATCGGTGATGATTGGACCTATTATCTTTGAGGTAACATTCCATGTGATGGATATCACACCGACCTATAACTATCTCTTGGGTAGACCATGGATTCACTATGCAAGGATTGTAGCTTCTACACTTCATCAGAAACTGAAGTTTATTATAGATGACAAGTTAGTCATTGTCTTAGCTGAAGAGGACCTGTTGGCGACTAAGCCCTCCTCCACCCCCTCATTGACATCACTGAAGAGGCTCTGGAGACCTCATTCCAGGCACTCGAGATTGCTAATACGGCGTATGTGGGGGAGGGAACATCTATCATAAAACCCCAACCATGAAATACAGCTATGATGATAGCAAAAGTCATGCTTGAAGAAGGTTACCGGCTCGAATGCGGGTTAGGTAGGAATGAGCAAGGATTGATTGAGTTGCCTAAACCAATTGATAATAAAGATCGATTTGGACTTGGTTATAGGCCAAAGGTAAATAAAAGAAGGATAATAGCTGAGAGAAGAGAAAAGAGGATGGCCAAATTAGAAAATAGAGACCCTGAAACTGGAAGGATCCCCTTCTGTGATCTCCTACAAAGCTTTCAAAGTGCAAGATTTGAATTTGTAAATTCAGTGGTTGCTGCTGAGGAAGACACCCCCTGGAGATGAACATGTCAATTTAGTTCGTGCATGCTTGCCGAATACAGAGATCGGCACTTGGGAGATCATTGAGCTTCCTGTGATTTTAGAGTAATTTGTAATGCTGATTCTATTGCTCTGCCTAAGGCTTTAGGATATTTGTTTTTCTCTATTTTGTTTTATTGAATCGAGCATACATGTTTCCTTTCGATATTATCAATAAAATGCATTTTGATTTTTCCAATAAAAATAAATTTCCTTCCTTTCTTATTATTAAACCTTTCGCTATCTTTTTATCTTTTTGTTATTGTAAACTATAAATTGTACAGACCTGATGATGATGTACTTGAAAGTGTCAATGCTAATATCGCTCTGAATAATGTTACTGTCTCATTAATCAAGCTAATAATGAAACTCAACATGAGCATGATCCTTCTCTTGAACTGCTAAGGCTAGTAGAGCAAGAAACTAAAGAAATTTTGCCTCATCAAGAACCTACAGAGATGATTAATCTGGGCCTCGAAGAAGAGAAAAATGAAGTCAAAATCAGCACCTTATTGAAAGAGGACGAACACCATAAGTTGATAGAACTCCTCCATAAATATAAGGACATCTTTGCATGGTCGTACCAAGCCATGCCTGGCCTCGATGCAAATAATGTGGAACATAAATTACTATTAAAGCCAGACTGTCCCCCAATCAAGCAAAAGTTAAGAAGGATGATGCTCGAAATGTCCTTAAAAATCAGAGAAGAAGTGAAGAAACAACTTGATGCTGGTTTCCTAATTGTTGCAAAATATCCACAATGGGTTGCAAACATAGTGCCTGTCCCTAAGAAAGATGGAAAAATCTGAATGTGCGTAGACTATCGAGATCTGAACCGGGCTAGTCTAAAGATAATTTCCCACTGCCCCACATCAACATGCTTGTAAACAACACAGTCCAACACCAATTCTTCTCCTTCATGGATGGCTTCTTAAGATATAATCAGATCAAAATGGCAGAAGAAGATAGGGAAAAGACTACATTCATCACACCCTTAGGTACCTTTTGCTACAAAGTTATGTTGTTTGGGTTAGAAAATGCCAGGGCAACATACCAAAGAGCAATGGTGACCTTATTTCATGATATAATGCATAAAGAGATTGAGATGTATGTAGATGACATGATTGCAAAATCTAGAAGTGAAAGAGGATCATATTGTTCATCTTCAGAAGCTATTTGAGCGACTAAGGAAGTTTAAACTGAGATTGAATCCAACCAAATGTACCTTTGGCGTGAAATCTAGCAAGCTACTCGGATTCATAGTTAGCCATAAGGGGATTGAAGTGGATCCTGAAGAATATGCCACCACCCAACACGGAAAAAGAAATTCAAGGGTTCTTAGGGAGACTAAACTATATTGCCTAATTTATATCCAATTGACTGCTACATGTGAACCGGTTTTCAAATTGTTGCACAAAAATCAACCAATGAAATAGAATGATGATTGCCAAGAAGCCTTTGAGAAAATCAAGCAATACTTACAAGATCCTCCAGTTTTGATTTCACCAGTTCCTGGAAGACCCCTAATCATGTACCTGACAATACTCGATGGATCAATGGGTTGTCTGTTAGGGCAACATGATAACTCTACAAGAAAAGAGCATGTCATTTATTACTTAAGCAAAAAATTCACCAATTATGAAGCCAATTACTCGTTGTTTGAGCAAACTTGTTGTGATTTAACTTGGGCTGCCCGCCGATTGAGACAATATATCCTTAGCCACACGACTTGGTTGGTATCAAAGATGGATCTAATCAAGTATATCTTTGGAAAGCCAGCTCTCACTGGGAGAATTGCTCGTTGGCAAGTATTTTTATCTGAATATGACATTGTGTACGTCACTCAAAAGGCAATCAAAGGCAATGCTCTAGCAGACTACCTAGCCCACCAGCCAGTAGACGACTACCAGTCAATGCAATGTGAATTTCCTAATGAAGACATAATGACTTTGTTTAAAGAAGAAGGGTCAGGAAAGGAAAAATGGATAATGTTATTTGATGGGGCCTCAAATGCATTGGGACATGGAGTTAGCGCTGTGTTAATCTCCCCAGAGAAACACCATATCCCAATCACAGCAAGGCTATCCTTTGATTGTACAAATAATGTGGCAGAATATGAAGCATGTGTCCTAAGGATCCAAGTAGTTATAGAATCAAAGGCCAAGATTCTTAAAGTATTCGGTGATTCGGCCTTGAAGATTCATCAATCGTGAGGTGAATGGGAGACTAGAGATGGAAAACTAATCCCTTATTAAGCTTTTATGATAGAGTTGATAAAGCAATTTGACAAAATCACCTTTCATCATATCCCACGGAAGAATTATCAGTTGGCAGACGCATTAGCTATCCTAGCATCCATGTACGAATTGAGCAACGAAAAAGATATGCCACTTATAAAGATTCAGCGTCGTGATCAGCCAGCCTATTGTCAACTAGTAGAAGAAGAGTTAGATGGACAACCATGGTACCACGACATCAAGCAGTATATCCAAAATAAAAAGTATCTGTCAGAATCTTCAGAGAATAACAAAAGAACTCTAAGATGATTGGCAACGAGTTTCTTTTTAAATGGTGACGTATGCTACAAGAAAAATCATGACATGATACTTCTTAAATGTGTAGATGCCAATGAAGCACAAAAAATTATAAGAGAAGTCCATGAAGGTTCCTTTGGAACCCATAGAAATGGACATACCATGGCAAGGAAGATCTTAAGGGCTGGCTATTATTGGCTAACTATGGAGACTGAATGCTTCAAATGCTTGAAAAAATGTCACAAATGTCAAACTTATGCAAATAACATCCATATCCCACCAACAACATTAAATGTCTTGTCCAGCACCATGGCCCTTTTCAATGTGGGGGATGAATGTCATACGACCCATTGAGCCTAAGGCATCAAATGGACATTGTTTCATCCTGGTAGCAATCGACTATTTCACCAAATGGGTTGAAGCCACCTCATACACCAATGTGACTCGAAATGTAATAGTAAGGTTTATCAAAAAGGAATTAATATATCGATACAACCTACCAAATAAGTTGATCACGGATAATGCCACTAATTTGAATAACAAAATGATGACAGGGTTATATATTAATTTCAAGATTCAGCATCATAACTCTTCCCCATATTGCCCAAAAATGAATGGAGTAGTTGAAGCAGCTAACAAGAATATTAAAAAGATTATTCAAAAAATGGTGGTGACATATAAAGATTGGCACAAAATGCTCCCTTTTGCCCTACATGGATATCGTACGTCTGTCGGCACATCAACCGGGACAACTCCATTCTCTTTGGTATATGATATGGAAGCAATTCTTCTAATTGAAGTTGAAATCCCTTCCCTAAGGGTGCTAATGGAAACCGAATTAGAAGAAGCAGAATGGGTACAAACTCGTTTTGACTAATTAAACCTTATTGAAGGGAAAAGGTTAAATGCAATGTGCCATGGTCAATTGTCCAGAAGAGGTTAAAGAGAATGTTCGAGAAGAAGGTACACCCTTAAGAGTTTCAAGAAGGGGATTTAGTAGTCAAGAAGATACTCCCTATTCAAAAGAGTCGTATTAGCAAGTGAGCTCCAAATTATGAAGAACCTTACGTCGTAAAGAAGGCATTCTCAAGAGAAGCCTTGATTCTTTGGAACATGGACAACAAAGACTTATCATATCCTGTGAATTCTGACACAGTCAAAAAATACTATGCTTGAAAAAAAAAAGGTGAAAGCTCGCTAGGTTGAAAACCCAAAAGGGAAATCTAGGCAAAAATCAGAGCAGCTCGTTGAATTGAAAACTCAAAAGAACGATCTAAGCAAAAATTAGGGCCAAAAAACTCACCCTTAGGCTGTGACCCAAAAAGGTAGCCTAAACAGACATTTGAAGCATTATCCAAACCTTTGAAGTTCCAAGATGAAAAATCAAAACTCTAAAATTAGGGCATCAAAACTGGTTGAAGTTGCAAGGTGAAACAATCAGATGCTTGCAACTTTAGGAAGCATATGCCTAAAGCTTTAAATTAGGGCAATTTATGATTTGCTAAAAGGGTGCTCAAGGTCATTCATGTATGGAGACAGTCACGTGCTTGTAGCTCTAGGAGAAACACATGTCTGGAGCTCTAAACTAGAGCAATTCGTGGTTTGTTTAAAGGGTAGTCAAAGTTATTCATGTACGATATTAGCATTGTTCATCTAGAAAGTGTTCATCAAACAGCTATATACTCTTACCTTCTCCAAATTTCCACTCATCCAAAAAAAGCTTGTTCATGTAAATACATTCTCCTTATTGAGTAAATAAAGTTATCTTCTTTAACCTAACCATGGTTAATTCATTGTGCATTTTGTTAAACACATATCAAGAGGAAACAACCAAAAAAAAAAACAAAAAACAAAAAAAATAGAAAAGGAATGAGTAGAGAAGGAAAGAGAGAAAAGGCATCAAAGGTGTCTTCATAGATTTAGCAATCGCAGTAAGCTCATTGAAATCCCACAACTTTAATCCCCCTACGAACTGTTATTATGGATCGATAATTGCAGTCGAACTAGAATACACCTTGATAAGAATTCAAATAATAAAAAGAGTTAGAAGGTCTAATCTCGTTTCGAACTAGAGGACACGCAATTCTGTAAGGGTGACGAATCCCAAATTCAAAAATGAAAATATATAGTTTTGAAAAGACTCGCATCATCATTGCTTTCAAAAGTCTTGCATCACATCATCATTGCTTTCAAAAGTCTCACATCATTCATCATCATTGATTTCAAAAGTCTTGCGTCATCCATCATCATTGCTTTCGGAAGTCTTGCATCATGCATCATCATTGCTTTCAAAAATCTTACACCATGCATCATCATTACACCATCTTCACATTATGAATTATCACGCATAGGCGAACATTCGCGCTTATAGGCTTTTACCTTACGTAAACATTGAACTTGTCAAAAGTACCATACCCCAGTAATGACAAAATTGACCCTTTTCATAAAGTCTAGAACTTGACTGGCACGTCTACCTTTTGTCCAAAGTTCAAAACTTGACTGCATGTCTACCGTTTGCTAAAGTCCAAAACCTGATTGGCACATTTACCGTTTATCAAAAGTCCAAAACCTGATTGGCACATCCATTCTTTATCAAAAGTTCAGAACGTGACTGGCATGTCTACCTTTTGTCCAAAGTCTAGAACCTGATTGACATGTCTACCATTTGTCAAAAGTCCAGAATTTGACTAGCACATCTACTCTTTGTTAAAAGTCCATGATCTGACTGGCACCCTTTTTCAGACCGCAGATAAAATTGATTCACTTCTTTACCAATTTCTTACCATACTAATATGAAGAAATTCATTATTCATACCATTGAGTAAGAAATAAGTAAAGAGGGGCAATTGTGAATACTCAATTTTATCCAGGTCTCATCTAAAAATAAATAAATAAATACATAAATAATAAAATATAATATAAAAATTAGGTAAGATTTTAAATTTTAGTTCTATAAGAGGTTAGGATTTTAAATTTTAAATTTTAAATTTTAAATATGTAGAAATTTAGGTTAATGGAGAAAAAAGTGATTAGTTGGTAGATTTTAAGGGAAATGGATGAGATGTTTAAGGAAAATGTGAGAGGTGACAATCGAAAAATAGGAAGGTGGAACTTTTTAAAAAAAAAATAAAAATAAAAATAAATAAATAAAATAGCATCTAGGGTTAGGAGGTATGGCTATAAATAGGAAGCTTAGGTCTTTAGAGGGAAGACTTTTACACTTTATTTTTTTACGAGACACTTTAAGAGCATAAGGAGAAAAAGAGAGAGAATTATAGAGAGATAACTCGGGGAACAAAGAGAAAGAGGAAAGAGCTAAAAAGAAATCAATCGAGAGCATACCAAGGCACATCTGAGGTCAATAAAGAGAATAAACCAAAAGAGTTGAAGGATAAAGCCAATGAAATTCTTATTCTCCAGATTAAGTAAGATTTCCTTTTTGTTGTTTTATTCTTCATCTATTATTTTGCTCTCATTTCTACTTGTGTATTTTTTGTTTATATTAAAAGTCTCGAGTTTTGTTTTTAAACAAAATATCGTTTCATCTATTATCTTGCTCTCATTTCTTCCTTCTGTTCATATTAAAAGTCTCATATTTTATTTCTAAACAAAAAAATCTCTTTGTTTTAGTATGTGTACTTAGCTTTCAGTTTTGTCTTTCTCGTGTTTTGTTTGTTCACACTAAATGTATCGACCCTTTTTTAAATAAAATTGTCTCTTTTTTGCAAACCTTAATCTTCCCAAATCCTAAAAAAATCTATAAAAAAATGTTGTTTGCTTTGCCTTTTGCAAACCCTAAAATATTTTTTCTCTTAAAATATCCTTTTTGCAAACCCTAAAACATTTTCTAACCTTAAAATATCCTTTTTTGTAAACCCTAAAATATTTCTTTTCTAACCTTAAAGTATCTTTTTTGCAAAACCTAAAACATTTTCTACCCAAAAGTGTCTTTTTTTTTTGTACACCCTAAAAATAATTTTTAAAATCCCAAGTATTCCCTTTTTACAAAACCCAAAAAGTAACTTTTTTTTAACTCTTAACAATTTCACAAATTATAAAAGTCTAAATTTTCCAAACCCTAAAAACTCTTTTTTTTGTAAATCTTAAAAATTTCAATTTTTTTGCAAATCCCAAAAAATATCCCTAAATCAAACAATAATTATTTTCTTGTTATTTTTGCTCGCTTTTGTGTTTGTTTTTATTGTTCTATATATTTCTCGTTTATTTTTTATTGTACAAAAAATCCAATATTAATAAACATTTTAGTTATCTAGAAATGGGTCTTTTAAATCCACGCAACGACCAAGTAATTTTGATAGAGTGGTGGATCTACCTTCAACATTGCTTGGATCGTAAGAGTTTATTAAGTAGTCGTGTACTAACTTGAACCCTGTGCAGGAGTAGATTTACAAAAAATAATAACAAAGTAAAAATCAAGCTAAAAAAAAACCTAACCTTTTCTAATTTTAAAAATATCTTTTTGCAAATTTTAAAAAATTAACCTTTCCTAACCCTATAATTATTTCTCTTGTTCATTTTTCATATGTATGTCTTTTTTTTCTCTAAAAAAAAAGGATACATTTATTTGTAAAAAATTAATATTAAAAATATTTTAAATCCACGCAACGGCCAAACAATTTTGATAGAGTGGTGGCAACTCCCTGTCATCATTGTCCCGCCGTGCCCCCGGTTGCGACAAAAAGGTTGTGGTCTAGGCATTACGTATGCTTCTTACTCTACACCGAGGGGTATACTCTGCTAAAACATTCAAGTATTCTTCATTTTAAATTCTGAGGTACGTTTGCTTTGTCGTTACCCTACTTCGTCTCTTTTTTTCTTAGTCTTGTGGGTATGGATAACTCAATAAAGTGGGAGGACTTCTTGTCAGATAATGCTGGGCCGAATACTGAACTGGTTAATGAGATGGAGGAGGTGGTCGAGACCGAAGGGGTAAAGGATATTCCTTTTTAACCAAGCAGTGGTATTGTGGGTGATGCAACTGGTATCATCAC